CCCCCCACATGAAACCCACCGACCCCCACCCTGAGGGGGGGTCCCCGGAGCTGGGATGGGCCCCGCCAGGACCCGGAGGCGGGTGATCCCCGCGGGCGGGCACTGCCCATCCCGCACACGGGGCCGGGCGGGTTCATGCACCGTTTGCTGCAATTACCCGGGCATGGGCAGCACCCGGCAGCTCTCCAGGACCATCCACACCCAGTTGCTCCTATGTCTCAACCAGTGCTGAACCCTTCTTTATTTTTTTATTATTTTTTTTAAATTGTTAGGCTCATTAAATATGGAAATGTATGGAAATGGATGGCAGGCATAAATATGGAGGGGCTGCCGAGTTCTCCAGTGTGCACCCATCCCCCTCCTGCCGGGGAGCAGGGGTGATCCCTGCACACAACCAGAAGCATCGTCCTGCTCCTCCTGCATGGTGACCCTCACCAGAGTGGGGTGCAGCCCCCAGGCCTCCCCAGCAGCAGGGGCTGGCAAAGGCAAACACCAGCTGGTAACAGCACCTTGTGCCTTTCCAGAAAGGAGTCTGGGGTACAATGGGGTGCAGTAGGGCCACGCTGGGAGGGCCAGGCAGGGTGCAGGCAGCAGAGAACCAGCCATGCTCAGCACATCCCAAGGATGCTAAAAAAACCCAGCCCAGGCCAGCTTTCCCCAGGGTTCAAGTCAGCACTGAGGCTCTGGTGACTCCGTCCTCCAGCAGCTGTGAGTAAAGCTGCTGTCACCACCCTGTGCCTCAGTTTCCCCCTCTCTAAAACACCACGTTGTGCTCGGCTCCATGCAAATGGCGGACGGCTGGTGGGTGGAAGATGCTCCAGAGGGCAAAGCAGTGTCTGGGTGTTGCAGCCCAGCCTAAACACTCCTCTGAGGGCTTGGCTCTTCCACCAAACTCCTCAGTGGGACCTGGGAACATGTAGAAAGCAGGAACCAAGCCTGGTGGGGCAGCCAGAGCACCCATCAAAGCCCAGAATCTTGCCCCGCTGCCTTGCGTTGGCATTAGGCCCTCTGCAATAGATGGAAAATTAATTGGGAACTTGTAATTAATGCTTCCATCTGCAGCCAGGAGGAGCCAGCTCCAGTGCTGGGCACTGCCTGTCCAGCTAGGTCAGCCCAGGGCTGCTCAGCAGGGACACCTACGATGGTGGGGACCAGCCTGCTCAGCCACAGTGAACTGTAATCCCAGGGGGATTACAAAGGAGCTGCTGGATCTTTCTGTGAGCTGGGGGTGCCTGCAGGCCTGATGCAGAATTCACCACGTGGGGCTCTGCAGCCCCAACCCCCCACTGCAGCAGAGCCACAGCAGTCAGCACCCCCCAGCACAGCTGGAACGCTGTGTTTACACTGCCATGTAATAAATCACAAGTGCACACACCCCGTGAGAGGGATCATAAATGTCCTTGCACAACAAAAGCTGAGCCAGGGACAGCTGGTGGTGGCTGGGGTGGGTAAAACCGCAGCACGCTCCAGCCACGCCAGGTACACCCACACTCCACACACCAGCCACAATTTGGGGTATCTCCCAATCTACCAGGGCTGGGACACTCAAGGTGGGGGAACAACAGGCAGTGATGAGGTCCCAGAGCACCAGTGCTGTCCCAGATGGAACTCCACCAGTGAAGAGCCCACCACTGCTCCCCCAGCAGGGCTGGGATTGCACCTAAAATACCCAGTTTTGCCTCCAGCACCATTGGTCTCCACTGTACCCCTTGTCACACATGTCACAGCATGGAAATGACATCCCACCACTGGGAAATCCCCATGGGATTGGTGCAGCCTTACCATAAAGTCATCAGCTCCATCTAAAACACCTCCTGAACCAATATTTGGTGGGAGCCAAATGCTTCCTTCCTCCTTGTGCCCTGATCCCAACTCAAGACTGTTGCATCTCCTGTCCCTGCTGTCCCCTCCTACACAGAACAGACCAGAGCTGTGCACAAACCAGCACACAATTTCACACCAGGGAACAGGCAGGGGAGTTGGTTTTACCAGCCTTTCCCAAGCACTTGTATAAACCCTTTTACTCCAAGGCAAGAAATAAAAAGCCACCAGCTCCCCTCAGGAGACTGTGACTGTAACATCAAGCTGAGTTGTACCATAGAATCACAGAGTTGTTTGGGTTGGAAGAGACCTTAAAGATCACTGAGTTCCATCCCACCCCCTGCACGGGCAGGGACACCTCCAGCTTAACCTGTCACAGCCCAGCTTTGAGAAAAGAAAGTTTCTCCCTTTTCTGCACATTCATTTTCCCTCCCTCCTTCACTGTGCCACGAAGGCCACCGTGTGTGCAGAGAGGAGCCCTTTGATGGCCCAGAGCCCGGGCAGACGCTTTGCCCCGCGAGCCTGAGGCAAACGGGGCTCTCATTTCCAGGGCTGCGGAGCCAGCTGAGCTGCTGCAGCTCCAGGGAGCAGACGCAGCCCCTGGCACTTCCCTTTTCCTTTTTGTTCTCTCTTTTTTTTTTTTTGCATCAGTGCAGGAATCTGACCCCGATTCTGAAAATTCGCATTTATCTGAGTTTACAAGTAGAGAGCTCCACGTTTCTGGCTCGTGAGGACCAACTGATGAAGCCAGGGTGGGGATTTCACCCATTCTCCAAGTGATCAACGCGATCGGCCACAGCAAAGTCAAGTGCTGTGAGTGTGTCCCTGCTGCAAACCTCCTGGCAGAGGAGAGGGAGAGATTATCAGTTGGAAGGGACTTAAAATTATAATCTAGTCCAGCTGCCTGACCAAACGTTAAAATACAGTGTTAAGGGCATTGTCCAAATGCCTCTTCAACACTGCCAGACTTGGAAATGTCAACCATCTCTCTGGTTCCACCTCCAGCCTGTTCCAGGATCTGACCACCTGTTTGGTAAAGAAATGCTTCTTCATGTCCAATCTAACCCCCTCGGTGCAGCTCTGAACCAGTCTGACACCTCCCACCCGGTGCTGCTCCCCAGGACCCACCTGGAGGGTCCTCACGCTCGGCACAGGAAGGGTTAATCACGATGCATAGCTGCTTCCCTGGAAATTACCGACTTCCCAGCCGGCATTCCGGGAGAGAGGGAGATTTCAGGGAAGAGCCTTTTTTTTTTTAAGACAAACACCCTCCCCAGCTGCCCCCCCACCCGCCAGCCCCAGGGGTCTCCGGGCCCAGAGGTGTGAGAACTCACCAGCAGAAAGAGTTAACGCGCGGCAGGGCGGGATGTGTGAAGGCAACGTGACTGCAGGTGGGGCCGGGCGGAGCCATGAATCACTCCTTTGCTTTTCCTCTTTTCACTTCTTGCTGTTACCTGTCCGGCCGGCGCTGCGCTGGCAGCAGCCCCAGATCATCCACCCGGCAGCCAGGGCGATGTGCGAGAGGCCATCAGAGACCCTCGCTGCCCAGAAACCCACCAGGTGACCCAGCTCTTCAGGAGTGATAACCAGGGACGGCGTTTGGGCTGAGAAATCCCGCTTTTCTCTCCCCTTCATTAAGCTTTTGTTTCGTTTTGTTCTTTCGTTTTCCACTTTTTAAGTTGCCTGGTGTTAGCGTTGACTTGAAAGAGCAGAGGATGAGAAGAGCGTGGACTTGGATGTAGGGGACCTTTCTGGTGGTGCACGTGTGCCTGGGGCTGTCTCTGCCTCAGCTGTGGGAAGCTCCAGGATTTCCTCGCCCGGAGCAGAGCCGGGAGCAAGCAAGGAACCAAATCCTCCTCCCTGGCAGAGAAGAGCTCCAGCGTGGCCGGAACCGGCAGAGCAGTGTGTTCCTCCAGCTGCACGTTGAGCCGGGAAGGGTGAAGCAAGTTGTGTACTTATAGACTGGGGAAAAAATAATTCCTTGTTTGTTGTCCATATCCAGCTCTTGCCGAGCAGAGAGATCCTTCAGAGACAGTAGAAGCGTCCGTGGTCACCATGGCCTTCTCCCAGGTGCAGTGCCTGGATGACAGCCACGTCAACTGGAGGTCCAGTGAGTCCAAGCCCGAGTTCTTCTACAGCGAGGAGCAACGCCTGGCCCTGGAGGCACTGGCCTCCCGCGGCCCCGATGCTTTCTACGAGGTCCTGAAGAAGGAGAACATCAGGGACTTCCTCTCTGAGCTGGAGCTAAAGAAGATCCTGGACACACTAGAGACGTACGACCCCGGCTCCGAGTACATCCCACGTCACGGGGGCAGCACGGGGGAGAGTGATGGTGACCACAACAGCCAAGGGGACGAGCAGGACGTGGCCCCCTCCCTGGAGTACTGGCCCCAGAGGTCCGACCGCTCCATCCCCCAGCTGGACCTGGGCTGGCCCGAGACCATCGCCTACCGTGGGGTCACCCGTGCCACTGTCTACATGCAGCCCCCCATCGAGGGGCAGGCGCACATCAAGGAGGTGGTGAGGAAGATGATCTGCCAGGCTCAAAAGGTGAGGTGGGTGCGCCGTGGGGACAGGGCAGGACGTGCCCCGGGCTGTCCTGCTGAGGACGGATCCCACGGATCCAGGCAATCCCCCCTCCTGCAAGGAGCTCTGCCCAAGCAAAGGCATCAGGGTCAAACGTTTGGGTTTTTCCACGTTCCTTCGGTGTTAAGCGGTATTTGGGGATCAGATTTTGCTGAAAACACTTTGAGCCTGGTCCAGCACTCCCTGGGAGCAAGGCTACCCTTCCTATGATCCCTAGGGCAGCACCATCAATCCCAGAGTCCCTACAAGAGCTGTAGGAAAAAACATAGGGGTGAAAAATAGGTTTGAGCTGCTCCCCAGCTCCAAGGCCACAGTCCCAGGCCCGTCA